CTTTGGGTGGGTAGGTGGGGCCAGCATGGTGTGGCATTTTGTGCAGCTGATCGGACCTGGTCACTGTGCTTGCCAAAGCAGGTACTTAGTCTGCTGAGCTGTCTTCTCAGTGAGAATATTGGGTGTTTACAAAGGCTTTTTCTGTGTTAATTGAGATGATCATGTGACTTTTGATCTTGTTTTTGCTTATGAAATGTATTGTCTTGAAATGTTGTTTTTATTTTTTTTTAATTTCTTTTGTATTTTAGGGAAGGGCCTACGTCGTTTTCAGGGTCTCACTACTAGATTGGACTCGTAGTGATCCGCCTGTTTACAGCCTCTCAAGAGCTGGGATTATAGGCATGTGCCACCACACCCAGTCTCAGTTGCCCACTCAGCACTCCCTGGGTCTGGGGTCAGCATGGCAAATCCAGTGATTGAAACCTCAGCCCCTGCGGGTGCTTTAGTCCACTGAGTTATTTGGCTGACCCTGAAGTGCTATGTTTTTGAATTAGAGGATTTCATCAACTAGCATCAACTTACATTCAAGTCTAGAATCAGTAGTTAAGAAAATAGTAATGCCACTTTTCTTTTTGATGTGGGTTGTGTACTCCTTTCTTATTTTCTTTCCTTGGTATTAGAGATTTTTCTCTATCATCACTTATAGAAGAGAGCATCATTCCCCAGTGTATGTTTTGCTTCGTTTTGCACTAATCCATTGACTATAGATTTGTAGGTTTGTTACTGGAGTCTTCACTTTTGTTCCACTGTTCTGTGTGGTGGGTTGTACGCCCGTGCAGTACTGTCCTCTTTTGGGTCTGATAGCCAGAGTATGGTCTGCCATCTGTGCCTCGGCTATCACTTCCAGCATCACCAGTTCTTTCTGTCTGTCTTTATTTATGAAAAGAGCTTCTTGGCTGGTGATATGGCCCAGTAGAATAAGGGCCTGCCTGGAAAGCACAGCGTTCTGAGTTCAATCCTGGTACCAAAAAAGAGAAGTTTTCCTTGTGAGTAGAACATTGCTGAGTCTTGCTTTATAAAATCCATTCAGCTTACCTGTACCTTTTAATTCATGAATTTAACCAATTTACATTTCAGGTTAATATTGAGATGGGAAGACTTCCTCTGTGCACTTCCCGTTGTTAATTATGCTCTTCTTCTGGTGATAGAGAGTGTCCTTCATTTGTTTCTTTTCCTTTTTCAATTTTTTAAAAAAAGTAATAACAAAAGCAAATAACAAATAACAAAAGCAAAGACAAAAACAAAGGAAACATATAACAATACAAGTGGTACTGAATTTCAGAATAAAATAGAAACTTAGCAGTGTTTGTCACATTGTACAGGGTTCTCATCAACTTTGTTGCTAGGTTAGCCAGGGCATGTGTGTAAGATCAGTGAAACAATTAAATATTCACTTTTCCTTTCAGTAAACTTTAATTTTTTCTTGTTCAGTTTACTTTTTATTTTAAAATTTATTTTCAAAAGAGTATAATAATAATTGGTAAGACATTAGAAACACTACACATTTAGAAGAATAGGATAAGAAGTATTTCAACCATGGTTTTTACATTGCACATTGCTGTCCTGGATGCTGTGGCTCAGACTGCAGAGATTTCCACAGCATTACTCAAATTGAAAATTTTAAACATTTCCTGTTACATTCAAATAACTGCTGAAAACTACTAGTACAATCCTCTCAGCTATCTTGCATA